TCCCAAAAAATTATACGTGTTTTGGAAATGTTGAGTGGAATTAGTCTAGAATCGGTTAATTTTATAGAAGAAAACCTTTCAAACAGCCTTAGTCCGTAAAGTTCCCACCTATCGGGCTGCGATTGGCTCATGTATTTAATCATTCCTACAACGTAATTTTCGGTTAGCGTGGAACGTATCTAAGCATTATAGGGGGGTCTACTGTACACGTTTTGCTGATTGGTTTGTGTTTGCAAATAATCATATTATGATCAATCAATGAAATGCTGCAATAATTTAAACCAGCTTAAATTTTGAGCTTTTTTTTTAGTCTTTGAGCAGACAGCATTATGTTGAATCAGTGTTAAGTGGGGTCTTACTGTATTTTCTTTTTGATATGTGCCACAGTTGAATTTAAATCTAATTAATTAATTAATAAAAACCACGTTAAGTGACATTCACATAATATAAATGGCATTTAAGAATTCAGTTAGAATTGGTTATATTTCATGCAGGCAGTCATAGTTGAGTCTCTATTTATAGAACTTTGTAAAGTGTTGGTTTTGGTTGGCAGTGACAGAACATATTGCTTTTAATATATATACAGTGAAAACTGCTTAGGCGGCCACCTGCATTTGACAGGCACCTGTCAAAACGGGCAAAAATTTCTGGCGCCGAACAGTTTATTCATAGTGTCTTCATATAAGTTACCTGTATTAAATGACCACCTGTATAACACAACCGCGGGCATCGATTTTTGGTCCGAAACAACATACAACAACTGTAATAAGCAACCACTTCCGCAAATATATCTGGTCTAAACTATTGTTCAACAATGTTTTCTCCCTCCTAATATAATGAATTAGTCTAAACTCTTGTTCGAACCCATCTCGGGCACTTCTCCCATCCTCGAAATTATGTGTTAATGAATTAGTCTAGCAACAAAGGAAATTCATTTCAGTTTGTTGGAAATTGTCCGAAAAACAAAAGAAATGCAAAGTGCTGTTGTTAGAAGATCGTATTAAAATTATCACAACAGCAATTAGCAGCAAAGTTTAATTGTGGGAAAACAAAATTTCTTTTACCACAGACCTACAGTATTTTCTTTGGGAGTATAAAATATTGTACACGATATAATTAATCGGCTGATCTCATCATTTGATAAAATTTATTTTTATTTATTTATTTTGAAGCTCATATACAGTACACGTGCGATAAATAGTTTCTGTATCAACCTACCTTATTTCCACGATATTTTTGGAAAAATAATATCCAAGTAATTTTCACAGGAAAAATATTCAAAAAACAATAAACGCATTAATGCAAAAATCAGTTTTACAGGCAACCTTCCTTTTTCAATTCCGCAATGACAATCGCGGAATGTAATGAAATTGTATAATGAGAAAAAATAATAAAATCGTTTTATTATTAATTAATAATTTTTCTTATTGTACTTAATGAAATATTAAATATTTTAACTTTGAAAATACTGTATTTTAATAAGATTAAACTAACAAATACCAAAACCAAAGTGATGTAGAGATACAACATGCTTGTATATCGATGAGGTAATACACGTAACTGAGGAGCAAACAAAAACAACCAAGTTGAATTAATTAAGTCGGAAAAAAGAAAGTGTGCATTATAATCGAGAAAATGCAACTATTGTATTAATCTTTAAAATATTGGCATTAAATTTGTCCTATAAAATCACAACGACTCCTGTAAATCGAGTTATCCGATAAGAATAAAATACAATACCAATATAGCCCTATTGTTGAAAAAATTCAACTATTTTTGCTCACCTTGAGTTTTGCTTAGTAGAAATGGCTAAAAAGCGCGCAAAATACGTACGGAAATACGGTATTACAGCACCACCTGTCTAAAAGACCACTTTTTGAAGGAACTGTGGGTGGTCACCATAGACAGGTTTTACTGTATAGAACAGATATAGCTGATGTGAACAACTGTTTACATCAGCTTATAAAAGTGTCTTGACTTCCGTTATTAATGGAAATATCTTCTCTCAAAAATGATTTCCTTCATCACAAGGTACTGATGGAATCTGGTGGTTTTACATTCAAACCATGCATCAAATCAGGATCAAGCAGATTTAAGTGCATGTACTGAAATTAGGAGCAATTGGATAACTTGTGATATGATTAATTAATTTAGATTTCAGAGTATTCTATAATATCAATCCAGAGCACAACTGAAGTTTGCAATTTCTGCTTATCATGTAGATGCATTTTTTTCCAGAATATTCTAAATTAATTATTTTGATACAAGATCACAGCTTAAAATTTTTCATCAAATTTCCTATCGTGATGTTGAGTGTTAAACATTATCTAAATGCAATCAATAGGATTAATGTTGCTAGGTATATTTCCTAGCATTATACTTTTATATATAAACTGTATTGCTTTGCAGATACATATTTAAGTTATAGATGCCAAAGAATACTTGTTCAAATATAGATATTGAATTTGAAATTTCAATTATAATTAGCAACAAAATGTTAAGTAATAAATTTAAAAAATTATATTTACCATCTGGTAGATCTTGTTTATTAGCAAATACCAATATTATAGCATCTCTCATCTCTCTATCATTAATTATCCTATGCAATTCTTGTCTGGCTTCATCAATCCTGTCTCTGTCTGCACAGTCAACGACAAATATTAATCCTTGAGTTCCTGTGTAATAATGCCTCCATAATGGTCTGATTTTATCTTGGCCACCTACATCCTAAGAAGCCATTTAAAATTACATTAAAGAATGCTCATTATTAGTTTATGTATGTATATATATTTTTTATATTACTTTATCCTTTATAGAATCAACTTCTTATTAAAGACCACACATAAAACAAAACTTTTCTTTGCCTTCTCCCAACTTATATTCAATATGAGATAAATATTTAATAATTTAAAATCTCAATTTAACTAGTCAAATAAACTTCAAACTTATTACAAAATATTTTGTTGACTAAACGAAAACCTGTACATAAAATAATGGACTCTGACATACATCATCATCAATATAATATAGGAAGTTCTCATGACATGCATGCATCTACAGTAAATGTGTTAATGAGCAACTTAAATAATTACTCTTCTCTACAAAGCAAAAGCAAATACATTATTTGATTAGCTGAATGTGAGGACTATATTTAAAAGTTTTAGAAATAATTGTATTTTAAAAAACATGTACAGTACAATTAAAGTTCATTTAAATTTCTAATCATAGAACTAAACCATGATTTAATACTAGTATTAATATAATAAATAAATAAATATAAAACTACTAGAGGGATTCACCCTCACCTGTTTTACTCACGCATCCCACGGGCTTTAACCTTTTGTTCAAAAATTTGTAATTCACATTTTTTGAAATTCAAAAACAGTAATTCATATATTCTTGGTAATTCATTTCTATTTTTCTTCCCTGGCCACTGTAGATATCCCAACCTCCCTGCTTGCTTCACTTGCCTCAAAGGCTTCAATCCCTCACTCCCAATATAGACCATTCATAACAAAAATTGTAACAATTCATCAATTTCTGGTGCCACTTTTTTTTGACAGTTAAAATTGTCAGAAATGTTTTCCTAACAAGCAAGCATTATATTATCCTATTTTCATATTTTCTGCCATATAAAACACACCTACAATTTAACAAAGATTATTTAGAGGAAAAAAATAACATTTTGATGAACTGTTACATGCGTCATTTTAATGCAGAATCCAACAAAAATACACCTTCGCTCAAAGATGAATTTGTATATTTTCATTGTAAAGAGTTTCAGTAAACTTGAATAAGATAACTAATAATGTCCAGAATAGAAATAAAACTTAACTGTTCTAGAAACTGGAGGGAATGTCAGAAATAAATTTCACATCTTAAAATGTCATCCAGCAACAAGTTTAATAAACAAAAACATTTTTGATGTAACGTTCAACTAATTATGACCTATAAACTTACATAGAAAACATTTTTGTTCATTAAAATTGCTGCTGGAGCATATTTTAAAATGTGAAATTTATCTTATAAGATTTTATATCCTAATAAAAAAAGTTATCATGTTCATATTGTCATGCTTATCATAACAGATTTTAAGGCAAGTTAAAGTTATTAAATGAGGATATATTCATAACTATAAAAATAAAGTAATTGACAAATTAGTTTAATCACTTATACTGGGAATAAACAAAATGAATGCATCAAGTGATTTATTTGCTTCAAGCTAGTTCTAGATATATAAGCATTTTCTTCTTCTTTTCTTTGTGTGTATTTCATTCTGATCAGTCTAAGAGGCAAGTGAGTTTTTGTCTAATGTTTATAAATGCAACACCATAGACCTACAACAATTTAATAATTGTCTTATTAGATGCAAGATGAATTTCTTTGAGAAACTTTTCTCAAGATATTGTGTCTTGTTTGGTATTAAATATAGTAATTATTTAAAAATTATGAGCCTACTGACTTCAATAAGATTTAATTTTAATAAAAAAACAAAGTAATCTTTAAAAACATTAAAATTATAACTTTCTTTTTAAAGAAAGCTGTAATTTGAATTTTTATTTAAACAACAAATGTTTTAAGACATGCTCCCCATTTTTAGAAAATATAATTAACAAATCATGTGTTGACAGAACTAAATATGTCACGTAATACACATAAAAACAGAGTTAAATAAATTAAATTCTTGTAAAAATTCTGAATTTTTAAAAAAACATTGGGCTTTGCAAAATTTCTGTTTAAATGTGAATAAACTAAATGTAATTTCCAGTTTAAAAAAAGTACATTACATATTCTTCGAAAGCAACCAATTTAAATTTATAGATTATTTTTGTTCAAAACAGTTTTTATACTTTTTTGTATCATCAAAATCTTTTCTTTTAGTTTATGAAAATAATTTTTTATTTGCAAATAAAAAGAAGTTGTAATGCATTTGGATGATTTTCTCAGCACCAAAACAAGGTTAAAGAAACCAGGAAGGAAGTACTATCATTTTCAATTATGGTTTGATAAAAAATTTAAATAATAATAATAAGGTATCTGTGGAGGATGGAAAGAGTGTTTATTGTAGCTGTCGTTCTCTCTTGTACAGATGTGATACCACAGACACTACACAATAGCCTGAGAACATTACAATTGCATAGAAATACATACATCACACTACAGAAGGCCACTATATTGAATACATGCCATATTGTTAGGAAATTCCTAAATACAGACACTGACACACTTATTTAATTTTAGTTTTGTTTTAGTTGCTATGCCTTAACTCTGGTCCGACATAGTACACAGCCACCAGTGTGAACCAAGTATAACCCACTAAACCCAACATAATAATAATAATAATAAAAGCATGAAAGGAGTAATTTTGAAGAAATTCCTCTATTTTTCAACAAAGAATATTTATTTTTAAAAATGGATTATTATAGAAGGAAACATTCTATAATAATCCATTTTTCTAGATCGAAGTTAAAATTTTGTATGGTGCCATCTGCTATAAATTTTATAAATTTTATTTTTAAAAAAATTTTATTATTATTAATTCTTATAAAAGGCAAAGCCTTATTTTTGCGAGTAGGGGAAATTTTTAAAAAATTGTAAATACCATAACAAGTAAAATTTTCATAAAATCTTATCCCACTCAAGATATAACCCTGACACCTACCTCTTGACTTATAATCTCCAAAATGTAATATTACTAATGCTCCTTATGTAGAAATATTCCTGCCAAATTTCAAAATATTTGGTCCATGAGATCTTGAGATATGAAGCAAAACACATAAAATGTTGTCCGCCCTTTTTACCTGTTTTTCGAAACAGGACCTTAAAATATTGAGAAAGACCAAAAGATCCGAGGGTCAAAGTTTGTCCAATTACAATACTTCCCCCCCTCTGTTACTTAACGTCCAGGAGAATAAAAATCATGCATTAAAAATTGTATAATTTATTTAATTTAGCTGCCAGTAGAAAAGTAGATCCTACCATTCATTAAAATAATTATCATTAATTTTCCATTTTTTTTTATAAATATTCTTCCATAAAATAATATTTTTATAAAACATGTTACGTAAGATGAAACTGACCTAGGGATAACAGAAATGTTTTTCAGCAAAGCAACCAATGCACTTTTAGGATGATACTTATTAATTATTTACTAACACACAAACTAAATATTTGAAAACATGTTATCCAATATAAAATATTTAAAAAGACTTACCCAAACATTAAACTTTACATTTTTATAAGTTACAGTTTCTACATTAAATCCTACTGTTGGAATGGTTGTTACTGATTGACCTAATTTTAATTTATAAAGAATTGCTTAAATGATTTAAGGAAATTTAATGTTTTTATAAGTGAAACTTTAATGTAACACTGCAATAAAAAATTTCTGTTTATATCTATAAATTGTTTAATTATAAACTAATTAAATTTAGACATATCTAAAGAATTGAGCTTCCAAAAATCTGATTTTAAAATATTTCAAATCTAGGAATGCGTGTTAAGTATAACTTGCCAAATTCTTTAATGTAACATAAATTGTTAATAATTATAAGCTGGATAAATGCCAATAAAGTTCACTCCTCTCTTCTTTTAATAATTTCTATATATATTAAATATTCAAATACTAAAAGTTTCTAGAATGTAAAATTGCCATTACATTAATGTTTATTTTATAACACGTTCAGAATTGAGACTAAAAAGTAACAGTTTATTAAATTTAAATGTAATCAGCACAATTCTAATTTTAAAAACAGATTTTGGGAAACAATCACAATTGTATTAGTAATGTTTATTAAGATAATAAATGATAAAAGGGCGAGAGCTCTGCCAAAATATAAGTTACATAAATTTCTAAATGATTTAATAATTGCTTTTTTGTACTTAAACAGTTTCTACTTTCCTTTTTTTTTAAATTAAACAGCAAATGAATTCTAAGAGCACTTAGAGGGTCCATCCGTATCTATCATGGCTTCGGACAGGCTCACAATAAAATGGAACACCCACAAAAAATTCCTAGGCAGTTGCTCATCTAGATTCAATTCCCATTCCCCACAGCAGTAGGCTAACACATTAACTGCCTTAGCCATTCAGCCATCTATTACGTTACATTAAAAGTATTAAGAAATAATATTGTATACTGGTAGCACAGCTAATAATAGTTTATTGTAATGCATTCTGTTTCCATGGTATTAGCAATCAACAAAATAATTATAAAATGAATAAATCATTTTAATTAAGAAATTGTCATCAATATAATTTAAATTTAACTATTTTTATCCACATATATATATTTATTTTCTATACATATTATCTTCCATGATTCTTTTAATATTCAATACAGAAACTGTACATTTTTAATAATTAATGTGTATTTATTAATATTAATTGTATTTATTATTTTCACTCTCACCTTAAACATACACATTTTAAAATGTAAACTTTTATAAACATATAGTCATCAATATATGTATTTAACATTCTTCCTTAGTTACAGAGTTTCATATTGAAATATAATGGCCGATTTAAATTAAGTGTGAATTCAATATTTTATTTTATTACATTAAATCAGTTGAATAAATTATGTTTCTCATTTATTTAGATAAAGTATAAAAGCTGAATTTTTTATAATACTTTACTTTGTTGCTTAAAAATTATAAAGTATGGTGTATAGAAGAATATTCGATTGAAGAAGACTAATAATAATTTTAATTTGTTCATTACATAATTTATAATATAACTTCAACAACTTATACAATTCCTTTAAAGGAATTTTTACCATATATACTGTATAATGTTTAGTCTAATGCAATTTATAAAACATTTTTTAATGCAGAAAATGATGTTCTCAATATCTTTCAATAAAAATTAGTTATTAAAATGTTAGTTAATAATTCCACATATTAGAAAAGTAAATTTTTATAAACTTAAAAAGGATACTAGTCTTTCCAGCTGCATCAAGTCCTAACATTAAAATTCTCATCTCCTTATTTCCAAATATCTTGGATAACAACTTCCCCATCTCATCAGACAGCTATGATAATTTCTGAAAGAATTTAAAAATTTAAGTATTACTAATATTATAAATATAATAAATTATGATAATTATTTCATATTTGAATTTTTTTCAACTTTATCCATTTAAATCTAAAATTTGTTCTTATTGTATTTAAATATATTTTTAAAATTATTTGTAAATATTCTTGTTCAAAGTCTGTTTCCACAATCCAGTTTGTGATCTTATGACATTTATTATAAAGGAACAAAATTGTTTGTAAATTAGTCTATTATTTTTGGTTTATTTTGTCTTAAAACACTGCTTTGGTTTACATTAGTATTGTATTTGTTGACTCAACTTGTCTATTTTGTTTTTAATGTTCTATTTTCTATATCCTTTTACGTATCAATTGTCACACTGTTACATATTTTAGTACTAGTCTCATTTATAAATACTGAAACTTCATTAACTATGCATATATAAATTACATTGGCCTCACTGACCAATTCAAGGGCATAGAATGCTTGAATAGAAGCAAAATCCTTCCAGAAAAAAAGAATATATTTGAAAGGGAATGTCAATTATATAATTTTAAATTAAAGTGAGTTATGTTCTACAAGGCATTAACGTTTAAGCCTCAACACCTCACGAATCATCATAGCACCAAACAATAGATGTTAAGTGCCAGCTTCCTATTTTTTAAAGATATTTATTGATATTAATTTACTTCACATTATTTTAAATTACACTGCTTTCTTTTGTCTTACTGTTGATTAATTTTTATTCAAAAATTTTACATATAGATTAAGTAACTAAACAATATATCATGATAATATTGTTTACAAAGTATTATAAATTTTAAAAAGTNAGTGGAATTAGTCTAGAATCGGTTAATTTTATAGAAGAAAACCTTTCAAACAGCCTTAGTCCGTAAAGTTCCCACCTATCGGGCTGCGATTGGCTCATGTATTTAATCATTCCTACAACGTAATTTTCGGTTAGCGTGGAACGTATCTAAGCATTATAGGGGGGTCTACTGTACACGTTTTGCTGATTGGTTTGTGTTTGCAAATAATCATATTATGATCAATCAATGAAATGCTGCAATAATTTAAACCAGCTTAAATTTTGAGCTTTTTTTTTAGTCTTTGAGCAGACAGCATTATGTTGAATCAGTGTTAAGTGGGGTCTTACTGTATTTTCTTTTTGATATGTGCCACAGTTGAATTTAAATCTAATTAATTAATTAATAAAAACCACGTTAAGTGACATTCACATAATATAAATGGCATTTAAGAATTCAGTTAGAATTGGTTATATTTCATGCAGGCAGTCATAGTTGAGTCTCTATTTATAGAACTTTGTAAAGTGTTGGTTTTGGTTGGCAGTGACAGAACATATTGCTTTTAATATATATACAGTGAAAACTGCTTAGGCGGCCACCTGCATTTGACAGGCACCTGTCAAAACGGGCAAAAATTTCTGGCGCCGAACAGTTTATTCATAGTGTCTTCATATAAGTTACCTGTATTAAATGACCACCTGTATAACACAACCGCGGGCATCGATTTTTGGTCCGAAACAACATACAACAACTGTAATAAGCAACCACTTCCGCAAATATATCTGGTCTAAACTATTGTTCAACAATGTTTTCTCCCTCCTAATATAATGAATTAGTCTAAACTCTTGTTCGAACCCATCTCGGGCACTTCTCCCATCCTCGAAATTATGTGTTAATGAATTAGTCTAGCAACAAAGGAAATTCATTTCAGTTTGTTGGAAATTGTCCGAAAAACAAAAGAAATGCAAAGTGCTGTTGTTAGAAGATCGTATTAAAATTATCACAACAGCAATTAGCAGCAAAGTTTAATTGTGGGAAAACAAAATTTCTTTTACCACAGACCTACAGTATTTTCTTTGGGAGTATAAAATATTGTACACGATATAATTAATCGGCTGATCTCATCATTTGATAAAATTTATTTTTATTTATTTATTTTGAAGCTCATATACAGTACACGTGCGATAAATAGTTTCTGTATCAACCTACCTTATTTCCACGATATTTTTGGAAAAATAATATCCAAGTAATTTTCACAGGCAAAATATTCAAAAAACAATAAACGCATTAATGCAAAAATCAGTTTTACTTCCTTTTTCGATTCCGCGATTGTAATGAAATCGTATAATGAGAAAAAATAATAAAATCGTTTTATTATTAATTAATAATTTTTCTTATTGTACTTAATTAATTAAGAAAATATTAAATATTAAAAAA